AATAGGGCACTAGCTTTCAATATTGCGACAGGTATCTCATCATAATCATGGGAGTATTTGGCTTTTAATATCTAACCATCCATCTCATTAGCTATGTAACTGCGTAAATTACTATCCAATTAAAAAACACAGGATTATCTCAAAAAGTAGACACTTGCCAAGCGGGAGATTTATTCCCCGCTTGTGTGAAGCCTGCCACTTGGAAGCGGCGCTGGAAGGGCTGGGGGGAGGGGGGGGGCGAACCACACCCGATCCTTAGGGCCTATAAGTGGTGATATTCGTGATCTGTATCACATAATGTAGGAGAATGGGTTGGGGTGACAGGTAGGTCACATGATGGAGATACGGAAATACAGACAGAATGTGTGCGAAGAGACCCAAGAGGACGAACTGCATGGGAGACCAAGCAGTAAATGGTATGATAATGTTATAATGGATATTAGATACAAATGTATGGACTACATTCGACTAGCTCAGGATAGGGTCAAATGGAAAGCTGGGACTTCTTTGGCTGCAGTAGCAAAATTAACTTTCCACAAAAAGCAGGAAATTTCATTACCAGATAAGCAAATGGACCATGATGTTAGCTACTTAGTACTGCTATTAATTTCAAGGTGAACCTAACGTATACTTCAGCCGGAATGGCTCAGTCGGTATAGAGACTGGCTACGGGCTGGGTGACCAAGGGTTCGGAGTTCGAGTCCCAATAGGGTCAAAAATTTTCTCTCCTCTACGTCGCCCAGTCCGGTTCTGGGGCCCACCCAGCCTCCTATCCAATGGGTACCGGGGGTTCTCTCCCTGGGGTAAAGCGGCCGGGGCGTGAGCTGACCACTCACCTCCAACTAGTGTCGAGGCCAAGAAAATTTGGGTCTATACATCCACTCTCCCATACATCTTCTTGGCGTAGTGCTCAATTAGTTAAGCACAGGGACAACTTTTTTGCTTGGTGAGGGGTGGAGTCCAACTGGGTCCACTCGGCACGGCGGCCACTGATTGGCATATTGTAGCCTGCCCCGGGTGATTATGTTGATGGAGAAATTGGTGGAATGAAGATTGGCAGGGGAAACCGAAGTACTCGGAGAAAACCTGCCCCAGCGCCACTTTGTCCACCACAAATCCCACTTGACCAGACCCGGGATCGAACCCTGGCCGCCGCGGTGAGAAGCCAGCGACTAACCTCCTGAGCTATGGCGCGGCCAAGGTACAGCTTTACATTTACATAATGTATACTACGTCACAAAGCAATCGCCATCGTGTACAGTATCATGAGTACGCATGTGTTGATCTGTAACTGCTGTCACAGGTGGGCTCTGCAGTGATTGGTATTGTCGGCGCCGCGTGTCTGGTTTCTACTGTCACCTGGCTCGGGAAGAGATTCTTGTCCCTGGTCTCCCTAGCAGGAAACGGCGCCTCCTGTCTGCTGCTAGGGATCTACAGCTATGTGGTGTTGAGGCCGGGTGGAGCAGACCAGCTCTCGGCGACATGGCTGCCTCTCTCGCTCATCATTGTACTCTCCTTCTGCAGCAGCGTAATGTTCGAGATACCATGGATGATGCTCAGCGAAGTCTTCCCCTTCAGGTAGGAAGAAGTGCCTCCCAAACTGGATTTACCTTGTCGACAGTTTCATTATGCTGAAATGCAAATTAACTGGATTAGGAAAGAATACAGCTAAGAAGGAACACAGTTAACACTCACAGAGACGAGATTTAGGATCATGATTATATTTTCTAATACTAACAAGTAATAAGACAGGTCTCTAAGGGATTCAAGCCGTTGTATTGCGTGAGAGCAGAGTAAGCCGTGTTCATGTCTGTACTTAGACTTATTTTCTGTGAAAGAAATGCGTGAATCAATTTAATAGCTTCCAAAACATAATTCTTCTCTCAGAATTACTGTTTTTTATATTTTTCCATCGTCGAGTAGTCCAGAGACTAGAAAACACGACGTTCGGGAAACTGGATCTGTTTCCGTCCTCAGGTAAGGGAGAAAGATATCTACTCAGCTGGGTCCCTTAGAACGAGCTAATCTCTATCACTAGATAAGTCCAGTTAGGCTGACACAGGTATTTAATCACCTGAGACCGGGCTAATTTGGAGGGATATAACAAGAAAATATGCAATAAAAATTGTGATATAGCATGCATAGGCCTTGAACTAGGATAGAAAATGAGGTAGAAATTTATGTTACAAACCTAGCCAACAAAGCCAAGCGCATGGGCGCCAATTCAGAGAAATAGAAAAAATGTGAAGACATTTAGTTTCACTCTTGTGAAAAAAAGAGAAAAATTAGAGCCCACTTAAAAGACGAAAGTTTGTTTGCAGTGACGCAGACTGCTAGACGTAAGAGAGAAAGAATTTTGTTTGTAGAAGGAGACATGGAGATGTGCACACTCATTTCTTACATCTTCATGGTGTAGTGCTTAATTAGTTAAGCACCGAGACAACTTTACTTTGCCTTTGCATAATGTGTATAGTTATATATTATTTTAGCTGCTGCTGCCTTTTTGGTTCCTTCATGTTTACACCATTCGGATGTAGGTTGTGTTGCTGACATCATTTGGATACAAGCTGCCTCTGTCTTCAGGGTTGAAGTGTCCAGGATGGGTGACTTTCTGTGTATATACATGTATAACTTTATGTTCAGAGAGAAAACGTGGAGGGGGAGGCAGTGCCTTCTCCAGGCTGGTAGAGCAGTGGACAGGGAAGGCTGTGAAAGGAAAGGAAAGGAAAGGAAAGGAAAGGAAAGAATTGTCCTCTTTAAGGGTTACAGAGTGGAACAAAAAGTCATTGCCAAGCAGTCACCCAGCCAAGGGCTAGGATATAGACTTCAGATGTTAGAAGTTGCTCCTGTAATATCAAAGCAAGTATTTGCAATCTGATGAAAGGCAGGCAGTACCATATTACATTGATGATAGGGAAATTGAAACTTTCCTGCACACTAATATGTTCATTTACTTATAGTTAATTCTGTAAAATGAGACACTAATAATGCATAATTTACATCGTGTACTTAAACTTTAAACTTGTACCTGATGAGATTGATATATACCAGTGTGATCCACACTCTGAGAGGGTTGCACTTCCTTGCCCTCACTGTTATGAGAGCAGTCTGAGATACGTGTTGCTGTGGCCCGCTCCAGCAACAGCACAAATAGTGCCAACATAATGCCAAAGGCATATAAACTCAGAATAGGAGCAACCTGGAGAAGCTGAACACTTCCTTCAAACTTGCTAGATGGATGATCACGTTTTTCTTCTTGTTTCCAGAAATGTGATGGGTGTCGAATCATGAGTATATTCAGAATTCCACTCTCACGTAGACGCAAGATGCTAAGGACAGATATAAAGAATGTATCTACTGGCAAATATCTCTTTAAATTATCTGTACTTCTCATTTAACTGGTCTGCTATATTGAAATCAAGATTGTTAGCAGAAACTCTTTGACCAAGAGAAAATAAATATAAAAATA